AGTGGCAAACGGGCAAGCTTCTCATTCTCATATAAGTAAATAAGTAAAGGGTGGGAAGTGAAAGGGGACTAAAATGTAAAGATTTCCACTTCACGTCTGCCTTCTGTATCACTTTAAAACGCCATTTTCAAGTGTTATAATAAGCAAGTTATAATATTAGGCAAATGACCTTCTTCATAGCAAAGCTGATCCGATACTTGAGGCGCTTGTAGAAGGAGATCGGTCTGTGCTTGGAGCGCAGACTGACGGAGGCGGACAGCTTGGCGCGGACTGTGCGCTTCATCGTCAGCCCCTGCGGCAAATCGCGCAACGCCTCCCTAACACACACAGAAACTTAGCACCCTGGAGTATATACTTCTTCAGAACTTGCTTGATTTTCGCGTACTACCTCCTAAGCTCCTCGGAGACAGGGTTGTCCTCCATCAGCCGCTGTAGCTGCTCCATTTCGCGGACGATGATGTCAGCTTGCCGATCGCTGTCAGCGCCCCCCGCCAGCAGCGCCTCGCTATCAGAGTTGCTGCGGCGCAGGCGCAGCGTGCCTATAATGTCAACCATGCTTATTGCTAAGATAGTGTACTAAAGCGGCGAAATAATTTGTATAGGGTCAAGCAAAGTACGAACAGAGCCCAACACTAGCTATCTAATATGGAAGGCCTAAGATAACATGACTGATGAGAAAATGTCTAATCATGTCGGATTATTCCCAACCGTCACTCCGCTCTGTCCCCAAGTGGGGTGGGGACAGATGAGAGTAAAAATTTCCACCCATTCCACCTTTGAGTCCACTAATAAGGTGACAGATGGAATCATTAAGAAATAAAATAAGTTCCAACCGTCCCTTCGTCGCATGAGGTGGGACGGATGAAACTATTTATTCTCATCTGTCTCCCCGTGGGGACAGAGCGTGGTGACGGTTAGGAATAATCCATCATATGGATCATGAATGGTTTGATTGTCTCTGTGACAACAAATGTCGATCTGTTTAAGGTTGTTAACATAGAATCTTTTATGCCCACTGGCTATCTACTCTTGAAGAAATATATTATATTGCCACTTAACCTTAGCATATAAAAGTTGTATTTTTATATAACTCACTTGACAAGCGACATGTAACAACTTCATCACACACCAGTGGATTCATTTTAAAATATAAGAAATAAAATATTTCTTTGAGGAAACTAAAATATTTCTAGAGGAATTATATAATTATATCTGTATAAGAAAACAGCTATGAGCTATTTGTATTTCAAAGCAGAATGTGCACTGAGTTATGATTCACAACACACATAACTTCTTAACTTCATAACTTAATTAGAGTTAATTAAGTGGTTCCTATTTGAGTGTTACAAGCATTGTTTGTCGGACAAAATGTTTTGAATATGAAGAATACTAAACCATAATATCTATTTAAATTGATTGCAGAAAATATTTAGCAGTAAAATTTATTTTAGTGATTACATTTGTAGTCACTTTTGGTGGAAGAAGTAATTTGTATTTAATTGAAACATCCCATTTCTTAAGTTTTTTTTTAACTTAACTGCGGGGAATGATTAATAAACTTAGTAAAGCATACATTTTTGTGTGTTTTTATTATAATAATGACATATTTTATAATAAACATTTTGTTGAACTTAAAATTTTTAGGCAGTTGCTGGTCAATATATCCAGGGACTACTAATTAGTACTGTTATTGTATTCCAAGTATTTCTATACTTAAAAATGTGATTTCAGTGACTATTTTCATGAGCGGCCAAATAAAATTTCACTAAAATGAGTAAAAACGCCCTTAAAGGTACAATAACTTACCATATGGAATTTGTCTAGATGGCATGAAATTAACAGCTACCTGCCGCGCTATGTTATTCCTCAGCGTGAATGTGCGCCTGACATTAACCGGTTTTAACTCCAATTCCTCCACTTGATCTTCCATCCTAAATCATAACAATGTCATTTATGCTCATTTGCATCTTTGTTTACAGACAAAATGGTATGTGTCTGAAATATGCCTCTACAGATAACTTAATTCTAGCTTTGTAATTAATGAAAACGATCTTAAAAAACTTAAAACTTACTTTTTTACTAGGGAAATGTATTATCAATGTTCTAAAGTGACTCTTACTGATTATTAACAATAACTCCTTGATAGAAGGCAATAGTCGATAAGATAAATATATTAGTTATTAGCCGCTTAAAGTTTTTATGAAGGTATTTTACATTTATTGTTTATTTATTACCAAAAATTACATATGACGTTTCATTAATTGATTGACTTTGACATCTGTAAATGACAGTTCCTAACAATTGCTAGGATTCACCTTTTTTACTTTTTTAATCAGAGCAATAAAAATTACAAAACTGATACAATGATACTGAAAATAAGTCATAAAACAATGTAACGGTATTTTTTATACATCCGTAACGACTTAATCTTGATTTACGTTTAATTTTTTGTCATTTTTTGCTTTAACACTTTAACTTTAACAGTGCAATACTGAAATCAGAAGGATTTTGTTTGTGGATATTTATTTATGGTTTGTTTTACTGTTTTACAAAAATTAAAAATAGATTTGATCAGATTTGACTTTGTATTTAACTCGCAATTTTGATGTGATTGTAAAGATTAATTATTCTTATATTTAATTCCCTGTCGTTAAGTAAAAAGTATTTTGCTTTTTATGTGAAGTTTTAGAGCTGTAACAGACACTTGAGAAATCCTAATTGGAAAAAGGTTAATAGATTTTTTTTTACGTTACAGAAATTAACCTCAAATAAAACGAATTAAACTCAGTGTAAGTGGCTGCAACAATTATAATTCTTTGGTTTTGTTACCCCTCGATATCTAAACAAATAGTTTTTCTTTGTTTACAGATCTAAATGCATTTGTATTCCTTGAAATGGCTTCACCTCAGAGTGTGACAGTGGATCAAGTAAGACTTATTTTAAGTGAAATTATTGAAGCCCTGGAGTCCCCCGACTATGCCCCGAAACTGGACGAGGCAAAGGAGGCTGCCGGGAATGAGATGCTGAAAATGATGCAAATTGTTTTCCCCATGGTTGTTCAGATTGAAATGGAAACAATTAAAAGACACGGATTTATTAATTCCCGCGAAGGTACGCAATGAAATTTCGATGAAATTTAGCATAGATGTAGGGGATAGTCTGGAAGAACATAAACGCTATTCACTTTTGTTTCTTTCAATTTCACGCAGACGGAGTCGCGTACGAAAGCTAGTTAACTATAAAATTTTGGTTGGGCAATTTACTAGGTATTTTAAGCCAAAAATTTTTTGGTTAAAAATATTTTTATAAGGAAACTGTTTAGTTTTTGTAAAAAAAAAATAACTTCACACATAACACAACATTAGTTAAATGCAAATTAGTCATGGCCTTAAGCACTTCATGTGTGTAATTGGACCATATGGTACCATTCTTACACCATACTTTTACAGGTATTGTACAATTCACACAACTAGTCCGTGAGATGGAGCGAGCAGATACAGAGGTGGCCCGCTTGCATAGCCAGGTGCGCTCGCATTACTTGCCTCCTGTCTCCATCAGCTCCACTGTGGATACCTCGCTGTGAAGGTAAGCACTAACTGTTGAGTTAATTAAAAGAGGACTCTTGATAAAATGTTGAAGGATCCCGTTCAGGCCTCTCGTGTGTATGTTTGAATGGAACGATGTTTGTTTGTTATTGTTTGAAGCCTCAATTAATAATTAAAAGTGGCAATTGTTACTTTAACATGAAAAGTTCATTTTCAATGGGAGGAGAGTTCGCGAAATGAAGTTTATGTACAATTTTTAGTGAGACATTATTTTTTATTTACACAATGTGACAGTTTTATGAAGTGAAGCAGTTTTAAACTTTAAGTAGCTGTTAGTCAAGGCCGGCGTAAGGATAGGGCGTCCGACCAGTGCGTTGACAGAAAGGGGAGTGACGGGTTTGTACAAACAATCTCTCATAACCCTGTTTACCTCTAAAATTGCTAAAAAAGGGCATCGTAGAATCTCGCCCAGGGCGTCGTGAAATCTCACCCAGGGCGTCGTAAAATCTCGCCCAGGGCTTCGCAAAATCTCGCTCACGGCGTTGGTAGTGCCTACATCGGTATATGATTGTGATACAATGTTATCTATGAATTGTTCTCAGTAAAACATAAAGCATATTTACTACAAAGGCATTAACGGGAAATGTGATAAGAAATTGTAGATTATAATCACATTTATTTAGTTACATTCACCTTTTGTTTTATTATGATTCACTATGTGACATTAATTTTCAATTAAATTTATTTTAAAGTATAACTAAAGTATTTAAAAGTGTTATATTTAATATCTGATTGTAGTGAAGCATTGATAAATTATCAGTCACAACTTTGTGTTTTGTGTGGATTATAACCTCAATTGTGGCAAGTATATAAGTTTTCATAATATAAATATAAAATTTAGATTAATAGATATATGTGAACTAAAAGATTTTTAACAGCAATAGTAACAAATAAAAGAATTTAATTCCCTAAACAAAATGAGGTAAATGTACAAATTATCACATTGCTTGTTAAATGGGTCTGTTTCAATGACTTTTAAATGTAAACAAAAAAACACGCAGACAAAGTAAGAACCGCTTTATTTTTTTTTAAACTACAGAGTAAACAGATCTTATTACCGACTACTTATACTTGAATCTCTTTATATTTGTACAAGGATAGTCCCACTGGCAGATAGCTGGCCGACAGAATTCCTGTAATGCCGTGACTTCGCTCGACAAATATTTTCGTAGGAGATAACGTGTTATCTATGAACACAGTACGACGCGGCCGCGGTAGCTAGATTACCTGCTGACCAACTTTGTTTACTTAAGTTTATTAAGGTTTGCATTAAGAAATAAATGTACTTTTAACTTTGAGACAGAATAATTATTTTTGAATACAGTTTAGAACCCTATCAGTTTAATCTATTACTAAACGTGATAACTGTAATTCGACGAGTATAAAGACTGAATTGATGTCGGGACATTCCCCGATGGCATCCGCCGTCTCCGTGCCCAATAAAAGTCATCCCAAGCCATTTTAATATATTTTTCTACCGACTTCCCAAAAGGAGGTATTCAATGGATCTGTAAGTTTTTTAATGTGTGTTATATTATTTTACAGTTGCCAGCAGTTAAGT